CACTTGCACGATTCCCCCTCCCTCTGCCGATTTCTTTTCTCTCTTTCATAGCTCCCTCTCCCTCTCTTCCCCTTCTTTCTTTCCCTCTTTCTCACTCTCTTCCTCTCTCCCATTTCTCGTTTCATTCTGTGACCTCTTGTTTCCTCCCTATGCCTGTCTGTCTTTCTGTACCACCAGTTCTTTCATGACTGTCTATCCCTGTCTTTGTTGCTCTCCTCATCTGCAGCACGCAGTCGTTTAAGGAAGCTACTACCGCACACGTGCCAGTCCACGTGACCAATCCCCGTGGCGCGGCACGTGTCGCCCACCGTGCCGGCGCCAATCCAGAGTCACTGCCCGATACTGGCGCTACGCGCTCCTGTTTGGTGACCCAAAATTCATCATTTGTGTATGCGATATCCTGAGCATGAAAATACATGACTCAACAATTTTGGCTCGAGACTAATGCGCACAGGGTGAGTGGTTTATATCAAACGCGATGACGGCTAATCACTGGGGAGATGTTTGTTTCTCACTTTTTATTACGGTTTGGCTCCACGCACGGCGGTTGATTGGCGTCGTACGCTTGTGAATGTATCCGATTGATTTGATCCATGTAGTGTTGCTCAGTAACGCTCAGCTTAGTGCGCTCATTGTTCCGGAAGACGAGTTTCCCAGCCGATGCGGTTGAAAGACAACATAAGCTTGCTTTGTTTCTCAGGATGCCGACGGCGCGGCGCAGTGTCAGTCCGCGACCACCGGTTTTGCAGCGCAATATCATTCGCGAGTCCATGCCTATCCCATTGCGGCACAGTATCCTCCACAAGTCCACATGTGCTGCTGCCCAGTATTAGCCAATCAATGGGTATTGCGGTGCAGTATCCGCGAGTCTGTGCGTATTGCGGTGCAGTATCCTTCCAGGCGCCTACCGCTGCTGCCACCTGGGGGCGGAGATGTAACATTGCCGCATGCAGCGCATACAGGTAACAATGCGATACTGAACATGCGACGGCTCTTTCATCTTTAGCTACCAACTGACATGCCAAGGCACTGTTAGTTCTTCTTTCAAACTGCTCCAGGAATATGACATGGAATCTTGCCCTTGGATTATAAAAAAGCAATTCAGATTCCATTGCGATTTCAATCTTCACGCACTTGCAACTGATAAAAGGTTAGTTACCATTGTCCGTGACAACCACAATATCTAATATAGATATCCTAGGTATTTTATCTATTTTGTTTATACGGTGGCAACTGGCATGCCGCAAAATACTTTCCATAGGTAGGGGAGAGTGGGGAAAGATGCCCAGGGTTTGACTATGTCATATATTATTCAAAAATGACGATCGGAAAGCCAAAACTTGGAGTTTCAACGGAAGCCGACATCATTTTTCTCCAAACATATCACACTTTCGTGCCTGAAATATGATAACTTTTTTTGCTATTAAGCATTTTCCTGAAGAAGTGAAAGGGGGCATCTTACCCCACAGGGTGGGAAAGACGCCCCCTGGCGTTGGGTAAGATGCCCCCTGCACTATAAGTGACATAAATAGGCACGGGAATCGCCTGAACGAATCAGTAGTCCCTTCGAGCCTGCAGTAGGCACCAAGCGTCATCGTAAGGGCCCTCAAAAGTAGTCGTAAGGGGCTTCAGAGGTCATCGTTAGGGCCATCATAGTCCAGCGTGGCCAAACAAGCCTCCGTGGTGGCGTTCGGAGACCACTGTGGGGCCCTTATAGGTCTTTATGATGCTTGAGGGCCCTCGAGCCCATCGTGGGGACCTCAGATGCCAGCGCGGCCCGTGGAGTCAACGTGGGAGCCCTCAAAAGATGTCGTGAGGGGCCCTGGAGCCAATAATGGGGCCCACAGAGGCCGTCGTGAGGGCTCTCAGAGTCAGATGCCGCCCAAAAAGTCGCTGTGTGGGCCGAGAGACCGGCATGGGGAGCACCCGACCGTACTGGACTCTCAGTAGTCCCAGATCGGCTTTCGTCTCTCATCACAAGTATGTAATAAATGATTTGACGGTCTGCTTGAAGGACAGCCTACGGATTTAGGGGGGCGTCTTTCCCCATCAGGACAGGGGGCATCTTACCCCAAGGTACCGAAGTAACATTAAATCAGCACCATTTGTTAGCCATAAAACTACACCCTGAAGCAAACTGTTTGGGACACAGTACACGCATGTTAATGTATCACGACTATAGCAAGGGACGCAAAAATTATCTACCTTCTTTGATATTTACAATGTTTTGACGCCAAAATATTTTTTGAAAGCAGCAAATAAAAAACATGCTATCACCAGCCAGCCGTTGCCCAACTGAGCTTCGCAAATTTTTGTGCAGTTAACAAGGCAGGCTTCCGCTTTACGCTAAGAATATTAATTTCCAGGTTCGACTCTTTGTTTCCCCGCTAGAGGGGGTGGGGCGTCTTTTCCACCCTGGGCATCTTACCCCACTCTCCCCTATCTTTAAAATGCTTTCGAGATTAGTGACGTCACGACACACACAAGTTTCTAAAATGTTTTTATTTAATAAGTTTTATGTATAGATATTGTACAGGAATAAAAACAGCACTTTTTGATTCGTCGTGAAAAACTGCATCAGATCAACACCTTTTCTAGTATTCTTTTCTGAATAAAAACAGCACCTTTCGATTTGTCGTGAAAAACTGCATCAGGTTAGCAGCTTTTCTTTTCTTTTTTTTTTAACTAATTTTAAAAATTTGACATCGCTTGACGTGACTTTGTCCTGACCTTGACCTGTACCTCATCCAGATATAGTCCATATCACTAATTGAATATATTCATCGAGTTCTAGGAAAAGCATGACCCATAAAACGTGTATCGCACATAGGTAACCTATTCAGTAGTTCATCTTTGTTGACCTTATCTGACCTTGACCTTGACCTTGTTATGACCTTTGTTGCCATGCATCTTGTCTTGGTAACCTAGCATCGCGTTCTGGGTGATCTGCAGTCTCAGTTCATTTTCGCCAATTGTGCACCAAAGTCAGTAATGTGGGAACATGCTGTTTAAGTTTCTCAGTGCTAGTACGAGGATCATATTAAACCATTTTAGTTTAGTGACCTTATTCTCGTAGGTTAAAAAAGTAAAAGCAAATCACTTTTTATTGATGTTTCGGGCACAGCTCTTCATTAGCAAGTTAAAAAATCACATTTTTCAAATTTGCTATTTTGATGAAGAGCTGTGCTTTTAATCAGTGGCGGATCCAGGGGGGGGGGGGGCAAAATGGGCATTTGCCCCTCCCAAACGGCATAATTTTAACATTGCGCCTATGGACGAGGCATGGAAAGAATCGATAAATTATTATGATTTGCCCTCCCCCCCCAAAAAAATCTGAGCTGGATCTGCCTCTGCTTAAAATATCACTAAAAAGTGATTTGCTTTAACTCTTTTCAACCGACGAGGAAAGGGATACTACTAAAAAATGTGGAAACATGCAGTTTTACCCTTGACATGTCCTTGACCTGACCTGTGACCTAATTAGCAAAAACGTTGTGCTCCAAAGACCCGTCTTGTTAAGAGCTTTCGGGTGTCGTTTTCTCCGTCTTTCCACAGCCATCCGTCCGGAAGTTAGACAGAGGCAGAATCTGCCCCCCCCCCCCGCCGCCCAGGGTGCGTTCGACTGAACAGCCCAGTGGGGTGCGGGTTAATTTCAGGATACAAAAGGCATCCTTGCCATACCACAACATAGGACTTATGTTCAAAGGCAAAAATCAGAGCTCGGGTCCCACCGGGCCTATACAAAACGACGGCCATGCTCTACAAGTCTCCTCGAACTGATATTAGCAGCTGCCCACTTTTTCGTTTGAAATTTGTTTCCTATCATGAACGCCGGTACCGTACTTGAAATGTCAATTCCACAGAATTTAATTAGATCTTTTTGAAGCACACAGGACACTGAAAGAGCTTGTGAAAGGTCATATTTGTCGGCGTATGAAGCAGTAGGTCATAAAGCAATAAACACCTGCTCTGTCCGTTTTATTGCATTTCATCGTAATTTTGCTGCACCCTTTGTGTTAGGTATTCTACCCACGTTTGTATTATATAAGCCTTGTCCTTTCATGGCCTGTAAGACGTCTTCATTGGATATCCATTTCAGTAGGATAGTTTAATTATGTGTAGTGACGATCTCTTCACTTTACCACTAATAACTGCTCCATTTATTGTCCAACTTCACGTAACGTCGCACATCTACCACCTAATCAAACATCATTGGCATGAATGCAGTATATCCCAGTCAGATGCTAAAGATCGTACAGCCACGATGCAAGGGAGGAAATGTTTGGGTTTTCTTCCTAGGAACGATACTGTGTGTCAGTTACAAAATAACGGTGCCCTGTTTGCTTCCCTCTGGTTTCCTGCTCAGCTTGTTTTTCAGTCTCGTGGGCCAGCCGTCATATTTCGTTGGTCCGCATTTGTACCCGATGACCCCTCTCGAGGCGCGGCCTTCGGTTTGGTGGCCGGCCGGGCGGGGAGATGACCCATGGCAACAGACGGCTGTGGTTAAGGGCCGGATCTGACGTGGGCGGTGGGGACCGAGTGCTCTGGCCCTCTTGTGTAGCCTTACGGCCCCACCCTGACCCTTCTGGGTGATCCTTCGGCCCCGCCCTGACCCTACAAGGTGATCCTAGGACCCGCTGTGACCCTACTTGGTGGTCTTACTGTCTCACCATGACTCTACTGAATGATCCCATACGACCCCGCTCTGGTCCTACTGGACAATACTGTAGACCCCGCCGCTCCAACCAAATTATACGAGTTCACATGGCCGTACATAATGGGAAGGAGGCGGGTGATAGGCATGAACCTACCTTAAACCGGACTGGGGAAATGCATTCAGATTGTTGGCTTCTGACCATGCTCGCCTCTCGCAGTTCATTGGTTCTGATTCCTGTGACTGTCAGTAGCCTCTGAGCGACCCCTATTCAGCTCTCGCAGTTCAAAGGTTTACGTTATGACCTGTCTGTAGCCTCTGACCGACCCCCTCTCGCCTTCCACAGGGCGTGTGTTACGTGGCTGCAGCGGACCGCCTTCTGGTTGCCGACTCCAACAACCAGTGTGTGCAGGTGTTCTCGGCCGAGGGAGAGTGTAAACTCAGGTAATTGACCACCATAGCCCCAAAATAGCCCTGTGGGGTGCTGGAACGTAGCGAGTATTTTTTTGCACTTATACCTGAGATAATTTGGTAGGTATACGCTTGGAGGGTGCCGTAACTTTTTTACTCTGTCTATGCGAAAGTAAAACAAGAATTTTCTAGATCCGTATCCCCAACGTTATTCAAGACACATTTCGTGCTTTGTTCGTGCTCCAGCGTTTCCGAAAAGGCGAAATGCTTTGCTCCGAGAGGTACTCAGCTATTCACACAAACACAGTTGCTCATTTATATAATGTCGCGCTATGGATGCATATTGCGCTAATAAATTGTGCTCTGAGCTTCATCTGAAAATCCTATTGCTGGCATTACGTGTAATCCGTTAATGGATAATGACGTTTCATAAGAATGTGTGCTGTATGCAAATTCTCGTGAAGTAGTCTATGTACATATAATGTCTATATAAATGTTTGGAATAGTCGGACGTGTTTCAAAGTGCTCCACTATTTTAGTTTATTTACCGTAAACAGCTCAGATAATGCTGTGAAATATGTATTAAAATGTTCACATTTTATCGTATATTATTTCTGGTGTGTAAATGTTTCTCAGAAAGTACGTGTAGGACTACTATAGTCGTTTAAAAAAGGATTATTTTCCTTAATTTTTTGGAAAGTATCTCGGCTCCATCAATGTCAACTTCCCTTGATTTTTTCTCTGGTGGCACGTGCTTTATAAGTTAGGATCTAGGAATCGCAGGATTTAGGTAGGTACTAAAAAGCGACTAGCGATTGCGTCAAGGCATTATGCACAATTCTACGGACGACGACTCGGATTGCTTTGTCGAAGGCTATGACCCAAAAAGCAGCGAATGGATCATTGCAGGAAAAAGAAAAAAGGAACAAGAAAATGAATGACAAAAATGAAAAGGCTGCAAAGGTAAACAATGCCTCAAACTTATGTGGCTCTTGTCAGATGGAAATGGGCGCCAAAGACCGATCACTGGAGTGTGAGGTGTGCTTGTTAAGATACCATGTTGTTTGCCAAGGAGTATCGGACAAACTGTACGAAGCCCTTGGGGACGAGGCAGACAGTTGTGCATGGTTCTGTCGGGCGTGCAAGGAAGGAGCTAAGCAGCTGAGACTCGAGATCATAGCGATGAAGCGAGAGCAGCTGTCGATCAAAGCCGATCTCAAAAGCCTCGCATCTACATGCGAGCAGAACTGTGCTGAGATTGCCGCATTGAAAGCTAATATTTCACAGACTAGCCAGAAGCTTGAAGCGTGTCAAAAAGAGCTGCAGGATAGAATCAACGCCATCGAGGTCAGTTCCAGTGTTACTCAAGCTGCCCTCCAAGTAAAGCTGGAAAAAAAGATTGAAACAAGTGGAGCAAAGCTGTGGGTCGGCATCAGCGGAGATGAGCAGTCCAAGCTATGCTCAAGCAGCAAGAGCAAACATGTCAGCATTGGAAACCAGACTGGAGGAACTGGCCGTGACTGTAAAGTCAAGCCTAGTAAAGAAGGACACAACCGATACCAGAGCCCTGAAGAAAGGACTGACTGAACTAGAAGACATTGAAAACAGAAAACTAAACTTGGTTGTTTTCAACCTCCCCGAGACCGGCAGCAGCGAGGGAGACATTGCAGCATTCAAAGAAATGATCAAGTCTGAGTTCAAGTTATCTGTGAAGTTACAGGAGGCCACAAGACTTGGAAAGATGAAAGACACAGGCTCCAGAATACTTAGAGTGAAACTCGAGACACTGAGTGAAAAGAAGCTGATCTTGGCTAAAGCGAAGGATCTGCGAACAAGCCGTGATGAAGCATATACTAGTGTCTTTATCCGTCCAGATCTTACAAAATGCCAACTTGAGGCTTCAAAAAACTTGCGAGCACTATTGCAGGAAAAACGCCTAGCTTTCCCAGAAAAGAAATGGATGATAAAACGGAACGAAGTGGTCATGGTTCCATCACTGCAAAGCTAAACATCCAAGATGGCACGAAAACAACCGGGCCCCCAGCACATTCAAGTGCGTTAAAAGTGTTTTATGCGAACATCGATAATTCTATCATGAGTAAATATGACTCTATTTTGGCACTCATTGCACTTGAGGACTACGATGTTCTTGCGTTATCAGAAATGAAGCCCAAAGTTGGATTGATACCTGAACATACTGTTATGGAAGTGCCTGGGTATGACCTTTTTACTAGCAAATTTTCTGCCGAAGGTACAAGGGGTACGGGAATTTACGTCAAGAAAAACTTACTGGCCAAGCAAGTGTATCCTACGGTGGGCGGCAACTTTCAAGATTGTACCTGGATTTCAATTGGTGCCCAGGTTGGGGTCAGTATGCTCGTTGGGGTGATCTATAGAAGTGGGTCACCAAATAGAGCTATTCCTTTGGATCATGATCTCCACAAAATGTTTGGTTGGGCGGCATCCTCAAATCATTCCCACAAAGTCATAGTTGGGGACTTCAACCACCCAGAAATATTTTGGACCCCGGACCCCGAAGTTCCAGAAGGTGTCAGCCAGAACAGCCCAGCCCGGAAGTTTATAGAATGCATACACGACACCTACCTTCTACAACATATAACGGAGCCAACAAGATACAGGGATGGACAGCGAGCTACTCTCGACGACCTACTCTTTACAAATGAGCGGGAGTTGGTTGAGCAGCTCAGCATTGGTGACCCGGTTGGAGCAAGCGACCATGTCAGCATCTCATTTGTTATGTCGTTTGCACCAAAGGCTCCAGCAAGAAAGAGTGCGGTGCTGAACTACCATAAAGCCAATTATGAAGATATGAGGGAAGCACTTAACATGGATTGGCAAGGATTGTTTGAAGGTAAATCTGTGCAGGAGATGGCAGATAAACTTGAACAAACGATCGCGGATCTGATAGAAGAGCATGTGCCCAAGGTTGATCCTAACAAAAAATCGAAAAGGGGATATCCCCTCTGGATGAATCGAAATGCTCTGAGAATGGTGAAGAAGAAACAGCACGCCTGGATTCGTTTTTTGAACACTAAAGATGTCTCTGATTACCAGAGCTATGTTAAGGCAAGAAACGAAGCTACTCACGCGACAAGGAAAGCAAGGCGGGAATTTGAGTCGAAACTGGCTAAAGAAGTAAAAGGTAACCATAAAGTGTTTTGGAACTACGTCAACCGCCGTAGGAAGTCGAGATGCGGTGTATCTGACTTACGCAGTGCTAATGGAGAACTCACGAGTAATGACAAGCACAAAGCTGACATATTGAACCAGCAATACGCGAGCGTGTTTACAAAGGAGGACGTATCATCAATTCCAACAATAGCATCGAAGCCCTTGGAGTCAGAGATGGAAGTTACAATAACTGTTCAGAGAGTTAATGCCATGTTGAAGACACTTAAGGTCGATAAATCACCAGGCCCGGACAAGTTACACCCTCGTGTATTACAGGAACTTGCGGACCAGCTTGCGCCACCTATCACGGCATTATTTAGAAAAAGCGTTGAAACTGGGGAAATTCCCCTGCAGTGGAAGCTGGCGATCGTCACACCGATCTTTAAGAAGGGTGACAAAAGTGACCCTGCAAATTACCGACCAGTTTCATTGACATCAATACTATGTAAGCTTTTGGAGAGGATAATTGGCGAAGACATCATTACTCACCTGAAGGCAAATAACTTTATCGCTCATCAACAGCATGGCTTCATCACGGGAAAATCCACGGTCACAAACCTACTGGAAGCACTTGATGTTTGGACAGAAGCGCTTAGTCACAAGTTACCTGTGGATGTTGTATTTTTAGACTATGCCAAAGCCTTCGACACTGTGCCCCATGAACGGCTTCTGGCCCAGGTCAAGGCTCTGGGAGTCGATGACGTAACATGCCGATGGATAAGGAGCTTCCTCACTGGCAGACAGCAGAGGGTGAAAGTAAATGGATCGCTCTCAGATTGGGGGAATGTAACGAGCGGGGTGCCACAGGGCTCAGTCCTTGGACCTCTCTTGTTCTCTATGTTTGTTTGTGACATTCCTGACCTGTTAAATTGTTTCATTTCCATGTTTGCCGACGATACGAAAGTCTATCAAGTCGTCAACGAGTCTGATGATTCAAATGGCTTACAAGAGGACATAAACTCTATACAGGATTGGGCAAGAACAATGCAGATGCTATTCCATCCACTGAAGTGCAAGGTCATGCATCTAGGATCAACTAATCCTGAAAAAGAATATACTATGACTACTATAGACGGAGACAATCACACTCTGGAAGCAGTCAGTGAAGAAAAAGACCTAGGAGTTACTATTGACAAGACACTATCATTCTCAAAACATGTCATGAACCAGGTTAACAAGGCCAATAGAATTCTCGGAGTCATCAAACATACCTTTGCAAACATTGACAGTGATGTCTTTCAAGCCTTGTACAAGAGCATCGTGAGACCCCATCTTGAGTATGCCGCTGTTATATGGAGCCCCAAATTTAAGAAGGATAAAGACGCACTCGAGCAGGTGCAACGGCGGGCAACGAGACTGGTGAAGGGGCTGTCTCACCTGTCATACTCAGATCGTCTCAGAAGCCTCAATTTGCCTACCCTTGAATTCCGAAGGCAAAGATCAGATATTATCGAGACATTCAAAATCTTAAAAGGCTTCGACACGGTGAACTACCAAAGAGAGTGCTCGTGTTGTCGCAACAGCATGTTCAAGAACTCTCTTAGCCGTACCACCCGAAGTCATGGTCAAAAGCTGCAGGTCCAGCATCAGTTGGGACCTAGGAAAGCCTTCTTCGCGGCACGAGTGACTCGGGCGTGGAACAAGCTGTCTAGGAACACTATTGAAGCACCAAATGTCGATGTTTTTAAGTTCAGACTTGGGAAAGAATGGAAGGACCACCCCGACAAGTTTAACTACAACTTCTCCTACTAATGCTCAAGAGTGGCTACTCATCGTATTAACAACAGTAGCTACTGTCACTAACAACAGTGATCGTCATTTTATGGCGACAACAAGCATGGCAGCCAACTCGTCTTCATCAGAAGAGGAGGAGGCGCCTCTTGAGTAAAGGGTCTTATTACTCGAAAGGGTATCTAATGACCTTTACTTAAGGTAAATACTTAAGGTAAATGTACATACCTACTTCTTTTCCCTGCTCGCAGTGTGTATACCAATTTTATCAAATCTTACGTTCACTGTCGCACACTTTGGATTCTTGATCTTTTAATTTGCTGGGCGTCTTCCATACTTCATGTTCAATTTGTTAAATCAGAAAGTGTTTCAATCCTCAAATTAGGAGGTGTCCATTTCAGTGCCAGTATTGGCGCCCGTGTCACTATCAGTCGAGGACAGTGACTTATGCCGCACGCTGGCGTCCGCTGCAGGTTCGGAGTGCGGGGCCGGGCGGCGGGCCAGATGCAGAGACCCTGCGGCGTCGCGTCCACCCCCGACGGCAACTACGTCGTCTCCGACTACGAGAACCGCTGTCTGTGCGTGTTCGACCCGCTGGGGAAGCTGGTGCGGCGCATCGGACACGGAAAACTGCAGGGTGAGTACACGAGCCACAGGGTGAGACGGGACGGGCTGCTGTGCAACCCATGGAGTTCGGGCTGACGGACCAGCGAGCGAAGTCCCTTGGATCCGACTTGGCGGTTGGACAGACTGCGATAAACCACTGAGCACCCCGCGAGGTCTGACCTGCGGCGGAGTCGTCCTGCCCCGAGTTTGGAGCTGAAAACTCAGCTCTGCCCGAGGGCTGGTCTGTCTCAGGGCTGACAGGGCGCGACCTGCCCCGCTTAGTCGCGATGTGTCCCTACACGACGACCTCGCATGGTTGCTGACTAAGTACTCACAGGAAAACTCCGAAAATAGCCGCGCTGTGGCCACCGTTTGGGACATGGATCCTGCCAACGACCCGGGGTCGGATTCGATGGGAGCCGGCTCAGTCATAGTCCACTACGACATATAGGGCCCGATGGCAACAGATGGTACAAACTTAGCCGATTGGCTAATGTATGTGACAGTAATCGTAAAACATTAGTAGAATTCGAAATAATACCAAGAACATCTCAATCCTGGAGATCCTGCTTGAGAGCTTGTTGTGCTTGAAATACGAGTATCGCATATTATTCTCATAAGCATATTATCTTCATGATGATTACATGATGCATTACTTCATGATGTAGGTACCCCACTGCAGAACAAAATTGTATTTTTTAGAATACTGTATCACTTGTAAGTTTATTGGTCTCGAGTTGTGCCTATTTTGGTGTGATTATTGTACCGATAATTGATTATTGTATCGATGCTCCTCTTCAGGGGCATCGAGGACCATAACAGACGGAGAGGAATTCACCGACTTAATCTGCTCATTGTAGATCCGGAATGTTTGATATACCTATAGATCGTCTTTTCACCGATATGGAGGTTCGACGTCCGTAGGTCTTGGTCATCGGCGTTCCTATTTGTGATTGCACTGGCAAATTTAAGCAAATGCAAGCTGGCATTCCCGCGTGCCTCATATGAGACTATTTTGACGAAATAATGCGACACTTTTCTTGGGTTGATGGCTGCCTTGCCTCTCACGATCACCATTGATGATCATGTTTCCAGAAACATTAATCGTATCGTGAGTTAAAATTGCACTGGATCATGGTGGAGAGGAAGTCGTTAGGTTTTTCGTTTTTCATGTTTGAATTAAATCAAAATCCATGTTTGTTACACCATGCTCACTTGTTTGCTGCTGTCCCAATGCTATGAAACATCTGTTTAGCGTCATTGAGCTTAACATTTTTGATGGGGCCCTTATACTTAGAAGTGATATTATCTCTGCTATTCGGAGGCAGCGCGCTGGCTGCAGCTCGTTGGCATGGAACCGGCCAAATAAGGTGCAAAGTCCACCCGCTGCTGGCTGGACGCGGGGACCGCGGCCGACGGCGCTAATCTGATGATGATGCTCGAATGACGACCAGGTTTGAGTGTTTGTCCTGCGCGACATTTGGCTCGTGTCAGCGACATGACTGGTCGGTGAACACAAGGCCAGCGCGGCGGCGGCGGCCGGGCGATGTCCGCGACTCGGTACACATCTGCCGGTGCCGGCGTCCCTCACTGTGCATACAGTGCACACTGCAGTGTGCACTGCAGCTGACAGAACTGGGTGTGCGTAACTGACGGTACCGACGTCATAGCTGGACACAACCGACAGACAGGACCGACGACCGGTATCATCAGTTCCTAAAACCGATATGATCGATCCGATCCTCACAGATCTTGGTCCGCCGATTCATCCGAGACCGCGCGGACCGGCGAGGTCGCCAACCGTGGCCGGCGTAGAGTCGTAGTCTCACGGACGTACCGGTGACGCCACTCGTAAGAGGGCTGGTCGACAAACAGCCGGTCAGCTTGTCAAATAAACAGCCCCACCAGCTGACCTTCACGGCGGCACGGCCGCACAGCAGCACAGCTACACAGCTACACCAGCTAACCTTCACAGCGGCACAGCTACACAGCTATAACAGCTGACCTTCGCAGCGGCACAGCATCGGCACGGAGCCACAGCGGAACGGCAGCACAGCTACACAGCGGCACTGTGGCACGGCGGCACAGCGTGGTGGCGGTAGATTGTAGCGGCAGCATAGCCACATAGCTACACGGCAGCACAGCGGCAGAGTTACACGGCGGTACGGTGGCACGGCTACAAGGTGACTTAGCTACACACAGCGGCAAGGCGGCACGGCAGCGGCGGCACAGTAGCGGCACGGAGGCATTCGGCACAGCGCGGTGGCCCAACTGTCTCCCCGAGCCTGCACGACGGTCTCAACGCCAACAATTAGTGTCTAGATTTATCGCTGTGGATGGTACAAGCAATCGATTTGAAGTCAACCCTTTCATGATGTACCAATAATGCTGCAATGGTATTTACTGCTACAACTATGTCATTTATTGATCTCGTAGCAAATTGATTTAACTTATGTAACAAATTGTAATCTAAGGACGAATCCTCATTTCCTCGTTTTCGGTATCTATGAATAATTATCGGGTGTTACGCGCAATAGTTTGACGATGAGCCGAGCCTAACGATCACTCGGCCTGTTACTGAATGATGAACTCGACCCAATTCATTGCAGCTCTGGCAGCCAATATCATTAGGGCGGTACGCTGGCAGAATATCCGCTGTTCTAAATCGGGCTCGATGATGCGCGCTGTTTAGTGTTTACATCTTGCTGAGAACTACGCGAACTACGCGATAGCAATGCTTCGTGTAATAGGCGTAGGTGCGGGACACTTCAGTATGATTTGACATCTGTGTTATTTGCTTCCAAATAAATGATAACATTTGAGACAAATAGTGTTTCAACGGTATGGAAAAGAAACGATAACATTGAAAGAACCTTTATATCTTATAGGTACATATATGCCACATTTATGTTACGCATTGGTATGTATTATGCACATTGCACGGGACATGATAAATGCATTTTGGGGTATTGCTATCAACAATAGTAGTACATTAAATTGATTACCATCCTTAACGGGTAAATCCCTTTTCGGGGAGGTATCTACTACAGCTGCTCACACTTATTGATGGGACACGGCGTCGCAGGGCTCAGCGGCGGCCGGAGGCCTATCGTCGTTGGAATTACGTCAGCAGGGAAGTACCTTGATCCACCTGGTACAGGCGTATCCTGAACCCCTACAGCTGTCACTGTGTCACAGGCACGCCCGTCACCGGCTGTCTCGTGCCCGTCAGCATGCTCGACGCGTCTTCACGAGGCCTTATAGGTTCGAAGCTGCACCGCGTGCAACATGCGAGAAACGAACAATGCGGTTTTTATTTAGTGCAACAGACAGCTGGTGAAACGATTTTATTCGTCAGTTCATCTCTGCAACCTAGGGCTGACTGAAGCCGACATTGACAATTAGGGTTACGCCATAAAGTGACCGATTCTCAAATCATGCTCAGTTTTCATGCATACGTCAGATGATGTGTGATTGAAGTTGGTCAATATTTGTGTGGTCGTTTGACTGATTCGTTTATTCAATGGATGTAGCGGCGTAGCCATTAGGCAATGAACAGGCTGTAGTTAGCAAAAAATAATGAAATAATACCAGAATAGTAAAAGGTCCGGCATACGTAAGATCTGAATATGCTATTACTAGCAGCGTTTCTGACGCCGATATGTCGTCTGGCGGCGGGAAGTCCACGACTGGGTGCGTGGGTCGTCTCCGAGTACCCGTCCGTGTCACCAGGCGCCTGTCGCGCCTGTTTACAGAGTCCCTGCGCCGAACAGCGCCCTTTGGGGTGGGTAGACTCGGCCCGGTGGTAACAAGTGGCCGGCGCCGACCCAGACTGTTCAGTCTGAGACTGAGATAGAGACTAGGGTTCCCTGGAGACGATGGCAGACCGTTGACAGACCGTCGAGCCACAAGACGACGGGTCGTCGAGACAGTGGGCCTTTGAGAAGGCGCTGGGTTGGGTCTTCGAGGCAATGTGAGAGGACGTGTCAAAAATGATGATATTTGTAGCCTCCTGAGACGGTTATTGGCATCGGGATTAGTTTATTATGCCGAAAATGTCAATTGTTAGATAAGTGCAACTTTGAAATAGTACCTTTGTACAGAACTTCGCCTAACTTAGCCCAAAATGGACCCGTTTCTTCTAGTTTCTAGGTCTGTGGGTGTGGCGTACTTTGTTGAAACAACAAGTATGCCTCTGTCTTTGCATTTCTTTCCGGAGGCCTCATCCATTTTCCGGTGTGAGCAACGGGTGCAACGGCTTCTCAGGAAACATTTGTCTACGTTCTATGGAAATCTGGCTTTCTGCACGCCGTTTTTATTTTCCGGTGTGCTATTATTCCCGACCCATTGTTCAAACTAAAGCTCAAGGTGCATCTCATTTCCAAGCTGTGGTACTCCATCTCTCTCTCTCTCTCCCTCTCTCTCTCTCTCTCTCTCTCTCTCTCTCTCTCGCCTCTCGCTGTCTCGCTCTCTCCTGTATGTATGCGTGTCTGTGTGTGTTTGTGCGGTGTTTCTCGCGCCTGTGCCGGTCACATGTCCTTGTCCTCGTTCCCGACCCCGTCTCCTCCTGATCACTGATCAGCCTATACCATTCTCAGACGGGAATAGTCCCGAACTGTGACGTCACCGTACTGTGTGCGCCCCTCCCTCCCACCCCCGGCCGGTCGGCCAGGGGGCGGTCAGAAAGGTCAAAGGTCACTGTACGCGGCCGGCACCCCGCATGGCAACATGACCTGTCGGTCGGACCGCGGGCAGTGGCCGTCTCGCTCTGCAGGCCAGACGGCAATAATGTTTGGACTTGAGCCCCCCTCCCCCTTCCCATCCCACCCGGTGCGGGGTACTCGGAAAGCTAACATTTGGCTCAGATTGAGTTGACTAATGACTATTCTAGAAGTTATTCATTAGAAAATAATCTATAGGACCTGCACACGCCTTTGAATGATTTCCCGTTCTTCAATTATTTGATGTCTGGCAACATAGAAAAATGCATGGTTATTGGGTTTGGTATAGAGCGCTTCTGTTGAAACTGAC